ATACTTATGTGTTCTATATATCCAATACAATCACAATTTCCACCAAGGGTCTAAAAAGATATTTTCCCATAGAAACAGAATATGCAAGCACCAATGCTTACAAAATCCCAAATGTACTTAAAGTTTCCTTCTTACAAATTCCTTATTCAGAAATAAAGTGTCCAGGTTTTGAGACAAAAAAATAACCCCATTTTTTAAATCCTGTGTACATACAAAATGTTTTAAAATATTGCCATCAGATACATTTAACAAGAGGAAAGCTTCTGAGATTTACTGTATTAGTCCAGTATTATCAAAACACAACAAGACAGATTGGTTTTCCTGACGCCTGCTGCTAGATTTTTGCTAACTTATGTTTCTGAAATTGTAGCATCATAAGTCAATGTTGTACAAAGGTATTTAATGTCATTTATAAAAGCCTAGTAATATAAACTGTTGACTCCTTATAAAGCATCTACTACGACAGAGAAATATCGCTGAAGCACATTTATGCCTTTGATCTGGATGTCTGCATAATGATTCTTGCCAGAAGGATAACTTGTTCCATAGATTATAGGACAGAAAATCAGTTTTTGGAGCAGTAGCTCAACCTCATCCAAGGCATCCCATTCTAAGAAACTAAATGGCACCTGCACTTCTGGTTTTTTGTTTGTTTGTTTTCATTTTGTTTTAAATCAAGTCTTTAATTCCTGTTGTGCTTCAAATCTAATTGAGCAGGTAGAATTCTGCTCCAGGAAAGACCTGCCCTTCCGTAAGGGATAAAAGGAGTGAGTCCCAGAGGAAACGGAAGCCCAGAGTGATAGTTTTGATGAGAGATGAATCAAACCGATGATGCACAGGAACAACAAGCACATTGGGATAGTCTGAGAGAGACACCATCATTCATTCAACAGCAGACCTGCAGGACCTCTTGAGAGCAAGATGGTGTTCAAGTTCAGATACAAGCCTAGCTGCCTTCTGCTTTGGCTATGGAATACAGCCTGTCTGACTGAAGATGTGTGCTGGTAGAGGAGAACCCAGGGCAGTTTCTAAGCCTGAAATCCAATCCTGTGTCTCCCATTAAATGGGAAGGTAGCCTTGGTCCAGTCACCAAACAGCTGTGGCCATCAATTTCTCTGTTTCCAGTGAGACTATTTCTTTAAGGATCCCTTCAGCTTTAAACATCTATGAATTTGCTGAAGCAACTGTTTTGATTGATGTGGAAATTTGAACTGCCTTTAAATGGAATGATTGATTACTCTCTAGCAGAACTTTGTTGAGTTCAGTGCATTATGAATACATGTCAAAAAGTACAATAAGGATATCTTATTTAAAAGTCCCTTCCAGTTTTTTTCACCCTAGAAAGGGTAGATGTACAGAAATGTCCATGTTCTTGCTGTGTAAAGGACATTTCTCCTCACCTCACACAGAGATGACTTTCAAGGCAATTTCTTAGAAGGCAATAAGGGACTTACGGGAGACATAGAGACATGAATGCGGTAGGCAGAGAAGGGATGTGGGGAGAGAGATGGACGTTACTAGGGAAATAGTGTGGACACAAGGCTCGACCTCGACCTGGGAATCAGGAAATTACAGTTCTAATTTCAGCTTTTCTATTGATTCTCTTGGGACCTTGAGAATGTCTGGCCCACTTTAATTGTTCTGTGCCTCAGTTTCCTTATCTGCCAATTAGAGTGAGAGTCCTTGGCTGAGTGCCCAGGATTGTAAGAACATATTATGCATGGCCATGAAAATACAACCAGTCTCCACAATGGAAAACATCCTACTTCCTAGACGTCCTAACTTAAAATGGAAATGTTAACACTAGAAATTCCGTTAGTAATCAAAATGTGAATGTTTTAGGGAGCACATCTACCTGGGTGAAAATTTAGCGAGTAAGACTATTCTAAGGGCTTGTTACCCCAGGAATGCATAAGCAAAACGAGATCAGACTTGAAGTAGGACAAGTTCCAGCTTTGCCACTTAGCATTTGTGTGACCTTGAGTGATTTTTTAACCTCCCACAGTACCCTCACCATTCATCTCTGAGGGTTGTGGTAAAGATGATTGCAAATGGAAGTTGGTTCTTCCAAGCCACTGGTGGGGTTGAATTCACAGCAACTATGTACTTTGCAGCTGGTAGTTTCTCTTACTATAATTATCTATTAAAAATCTTAGTCATCCAGAGCAAGGAATTTTTTAAGGCTACTATCTACTGAGCATTTACTATACTGCAATGTTTTATCCCTGTACTAAGCACTTTACAAAAATTATGTCATGGACTCCTCACAAAAACCTATTACTTTCCTGTTGCAGAAATGGAGGTAGAAAGAAACTAAGCTTTGTTTCTGGCCCCACTGTGTTTTCTTTACCTTCCTTGCTTTCTTTTTCTCAGCTACATCTAATTGGCTGTTCTTTTAGTATTCTTTTAACCCACCTTAAATTTTCAAAACTAAAGCAACAACTAACAGTATATTTATATAGCATGTTATTTTTGTCATGTTGCTGTCCAATCCCTGGAGACGCGCTCTAAATTCACTTGGATATTTGAGGATAAATCATGCTCTCTGGCAGTTTCTGGAAAGCACTGAAAAATCAGCCACCCTGAAATTTTCTAAACAACTAAAGCTTAAGAATTTCCAATATGTTCATTAAAAAAAGCATTTAAGGGCCGGCCGAGTGGCTCAGTTGGTTAAGAGCTCACTCAAGAGTTTGAGCTCTGAGCAACAGCGGTTGGGGTCCCGGCCCGAGCTGAGCAGCCGCTGAGCTGCCAACAGGTAGCAAGATGGCTCAGCTAAAAAAAAAAAACAAAACAAAACAAAAAAAAACCATTTATATTTATGCTTAGAAAAATAAAGTTATTATCAATAAAGCTTACGCACATGCATATGTTTATAGAACTTCACTAATAAGCAATTGCATATATGATGTATATGACCTCATTGTAACACTGCCCTCAAACACTGCTGTAAGAATTCTTACAGTTACCAGGAAGGTTAAATTCAGCAAACTCTTTTTTGCTAATGTGCCTTTTCATTGTGAAATACTATTATTGCCTTAGAGAAAATTTTTAAAAATGTTTTTTAAAGTGATGTGGTATTGAAGAGAGAGTCGGTACCCTTTAGGCCAGATTCGAAACTCAAACCCACTTCTTAATTACCTGGACAATTTATTAACATTTGGCACCTCATATTTTTTTCTATGATCACCAAGTTGCTGTGAGTTAAATGAGAACTGTGTGTGATCATAATAGCCAGTCAACAAATGTTAGTAACCACCTCTTCCCTTGGAAAAGAATCTCAAGTCAGACGTGCTTGGAGTCTGCTCTGTACGGACACAGGAATCCCTGTTCCAGTGAAGTGCTTCCCCACCTGCTTTGTCAATAGACTCTTCATTTTCAAATGGAAATGACGGACCCTCTCCCAATGGACACTCAAATGTGTCAACCTACTTCCTGGCACCCATGGACCCTCATTGCTCATCCATTGACCCAAATTAAGAATGCCTTCTCTAGTGTATTAATTTTGACTTCACCAAATCCTCTTGCAAAACAAGGTCATCTTTAAAAAATAAAATTCTTTGAGTGTCTTGCAGTTGAGTGAAGGAAAGCTACAGGCCTTTATTTTTAATAGCTTTGGGAAAATGCAGCGTTAGCACAAAACTCCACCATAGGCAATTAAGTAAATTGCACAGAGGCGCCATTAAATGATTGATCTGACTTGCTGCATATTTCATACAACCTTTTAAAACACACAAGTGACTATTTACTTCAGAGTCTAGCTCTAAATGAGCGAAGAAAAAAATTAGAATGGCAATAAATCTACTTTATTTACATAATTGTGCACACACCATTTTTACATATTACATTAGGACATTGGACAATAGATCAAGAAACAGAATGTTCTAGAAAATCAACTTTAACTACGGGTAAGCATCATGTACTTTTTCCAAATGAAGTTTTATTGCATTGAAGCCAAGGTGCCTCATTGGCACTGAGAGCCTCCCCAGAGACCCCCAAGTGTGGTTCCCTGATCCTGAGGTTGGTTGCTTTCTGCCAGCAGTGATCCGCTTGTTTGGGCTTCAGACTACATCAGATCCTTCATATATCTGCCAACACCACTCACTGGAGCTGGCTCTGTCCCACTCTTCTGGGAGTAGTTTTTTTTTATCCTATGCCTCAGTTTTGTCTATATAAACCCTTCCAAAGGGATAAGAGCTCCTGAGAATTAATTGTTTAGGTGAACACGTATGACGGGGGAGAATGCTACTGGGAAAGAGGTCGATTTGCATTCTGGCCCTCCCTTCGCTGTGTGTTTGACTTTAGCAAGTTATCTTCACCCTTCTGAACCTCTCTATCTTGTTGTGTAAAATGACAACCTACTCCCTGTATCATCCTTTCTATTCCTGGGGCCTTGCTCACAGTTTCCAAGGTCCCTTCTTCCTTCCTCTCCAAATCATACTTCATTTTCCAAGCCCTGCTCAAGACCCACCACCCCATGAAGACTTCTTGAGTCCTCACAGCTCACAATGATCTGATTTCTTGAAGAAATTGCACCAGTCGAATATTCGAAGAGTTGATAATCAGCAAACTGCTCCTTAATATTGTGTGTGTAGTCATCTCGGTGTGCAACGAGCTTTGGTCATGTCCTTTACATTCTACTGAGTGTCTTGTATGCTTACCCATGTTGTCCGGTTGGCCTTGAAGGCAGGAATTTTATCAAGTCCATTTGGCTTCCCCTAGAGCAGGAGTTCTCAACTTTTCACACTGTACAGAAGCACCTAGAGAACATGTTACAAGCTTTCCTGGACTCCACCCCCAGGAGATGCACTCAGGTCTGGGTGGGGCCCAAATGTCTGCTTTTCCAGCAAGTTCCAAGCACTGCAGCTGCTGCTGGATGCTTTCGAGCACCTCCCACAGAACCTGCCCATAGAAGCTAATACATATGTATGGATACTCAGGAGTGGGTGCTTCTTCTCTTTTCTTCTTCTTCAAGCTCACGCTCTGTCACTTCTCCCTTTTAGATTGACTTTGAAGATGTGATTGCAGAGCCAGAAGGGACACACAGTTTCGACGGCATCTGGAAGGCCAGCTTCACCACCTTCACTGTGACAAAGTACTGGTTCTACCGCTTGCTGTCCACCATCTTCGGCATCCCGATGGCTCTCATCTGGGGCATTTACTTTGCCATCGTGTCCTTCCTGCACATCTGGGTGGTCGTGCCGTACATTAAGAGCTTCCTGATTGAGATTCAGTGCATCAGCCGTGTCTATTCCATCTGCATCCACACCTTCTGCGACCCGCTCTTTGAGGCTTTTGGCAAAGTATTCAGCAATATCCACATCAACATGCAGAAAGAAATATAAATGACATTTCGAGGATAGAAGTACACCCGATTCTTGTTTTTTTTTTTCCTTTTAATATTCTTGGTGCCAATTTCAAGTTTTAAGTTGCTAGGACAGCAACAATACATGAATGAATTTTCTTGGCTCAGAACAAAGAAATCACTCAGTTTTCCTAGTTATTATTTGTCTCTTCTGAGTTATTTCATCTATGTTTTGGGGTGGTTTGGATTTTTTAAACTCATTTAAAATGTTTTCCTCATATTTTTATTTGCATGTGGATCATTGTTTTATTGCCTGAAATCTGAACCTATTGTTGAAAGATAATTTGAGAGACATATGAAGAACCGAGGAGGAAAAATAAGAACCAACAACCTCAACTGCCTATTCTAAAATGGCCATTTTTATGGTGAGGGAATAATCCCAGGCTATGGCCATTGATTGTACAGGTTTGTGAGCTGCTTTCAAGCAAACTCTCCCCTCCCCATCTGCTGTGTTAGTGGATTGCTGCCATTCAGCTCAATGATCCCATGGGATTTAGTGATCGTTATCAACTTAGAAAGCATACTCTGCATCCACACAACCCAACCAATCAATGCCTTACCCTTCTTGAAATTTCAACCTGTGATACTTTCTGTGCCTGAATATTTGTTATATAGATAATGGGACTTAAGTGCCTTGCTGTTCTTCACATTTTCCTTTTTCAAAGAGGGTCCAACTGGTCAACTTTCATTAGGTCCACAACTTCCCTGGAGAGACCAAAATTAGAAAACCCATTACCTAGTTCCCCACACTTGTTTCTGACTCTACGACACAGAGTCAGATGAAGCTCATGTCCACTCTTGACCATGCATCATCTTTATCCATATCGAGCAGAGAACACATCAGTCCCATGAAATGAGTTAAGGTGAACAAATGGGGCTGAGTCCTCTCTGTGCTGGCAGGAGTGGAAGCCAGCTTTCCCTGCCTCTCATCAGCTGAATGAGGTTAGCATGTCTATTCAGCTTCATTTATTTTCAAGAATAATCACGCTTTCCTGACTCCAAACTAATCCATTACCGGGGTGGTTTAGTGGCTGGACATTGTGTTTCATTTTCAGCTGACCGGTGGGCCTCCGGAGAAGGGCTCATCAAATGGCCATTGTGTGAGACTGTCATAGTCGTTGCAAACATGACCCCTTTGAAGGAGAGCTTGTCTGTTATGCTGTGACACATGGCCCCTCCCCTGCCAGGAGCTTTGGACCTAATCCAAGCACCGCATTTCTCAGAGAGAAGATAAGGTGGGGGAGGAGGCAGTAATAAAAGATTGAGGTCGTTTTGCTGGAATAAATTTGAATTCTTCTGAACTCAAACTGAGGAATGTTACCTGTAAACCTGAGTCATACAGAAAGCTGCCTGGTACATCCAAAAGCTTTTTATTCTTTCTGCTCATATTAAGACTCAGCCCTTGGGAATTTATTTTTAACCTTTAGTAATGCTTTTACTTTAGTTTCATACACCTGTTGAAATTCTCCTTGAATTTTTTTTTTGCATCTTCCAGTTTCCCTGACACTTTAGTTACCAAAGTGTTACCTACTTTGATTTTTTGCATTTAAAACAGACACTGGCATGAACATAGTTTTACTTTTAAACTGTGTACATAATTGAAAATGTACTATACTGCATACTTTAAAATGTAAAGATAGTTTTATCTTTATATGAGAAAAATCACTTGGGAAATTACTTTGTGATTCAATCTGTAAACTGTGTATCCCAAGACATGTCAGTTCTACACAGATGCTTAGTCTCTTGTGCACATCAAATGCTGGTCCAAAAGATTGCTGCAATTTTATATGCTTACTGATATATTTTACACTTTTATATTCTGCATGCCCTGTAAAGGTTACAAGTCTACACAATAAAAATGTTTAACTGTTCAATGGTCAGCTTTATTATTTTCCCCAAAATAGATGTGTATGTCAGTGCCTGTGTGTATGTGTGTGTGTGTGTGTGTGTGTGCACGCACACACACAAAGTACGCATGTACAGAGTGTGTCTACAGGGGTCGGCCGAGTGGCTCAGTTGGTTAAGAGCTCGTTCAAGAGTTTGAGCTCTGAGCAACAGTGATTCGATTCCCGGCCCGAGCTGAGCAGCCGCTGAGCTGCCAACAGGTGGCAGGATGGCTCAGCTTAAAAACAAACAAACAAACAAACAAACAAACAAACAAACAAACAAACAGTCTACATACTTGGAGGGTGTTTGTGGGGGTGGTCTTCCACTTTTCAACTACTACAAAGTAATTTAGCTGGGATCTTTCTTCTAAGGCCATCACCATTTATGAGTTACTTTAGATAAAAGGTATAATTAATAAGAAAGATTTGAGCCTACCAAATGCTTTATTAAGTGCCATGTAATTTAAGCCCCTAACAACTTCATGTGATGGATATTAATACTCTCCTTTAGTAAATGAGACATTCAGGGGATAATGCCCTGCATTTTGCCATGTCTTAACTGGAGATTTTTTAAAAGGCATATTTCACAAACAATTTAATTTTTGGCCTTGGGTAAATTTACAATTAGAGCTTCTGTAATAGTCAGGGTTCTCCAGAGAAACAGAACCAATAGGAATTACATACATGAAACATATATGAATATGTGAAGAATAGTATGTATTTAAAGATTTATGATAATAAATTGGTTTGTACAATTTTTGAAGGCTAACAAGTCTCATGGTCTGCAAGGTGAGTCAAGAAGCTGGAGACCCAGGATGCTGCTAGTGGAGCTCCAGTCTGAAAGCTGGCAGGCTCCAGACCCAGGAAAAGCTGATGTTTCACTGTGAGTTCAAAGGCAGGAAAAAACCAATGCTCCAGTTCAAAGGCAGTCAGGCAGGAATAATTCTCTTACTCAGGAAACGATCAACCTTTTTGTTCTACTCATTGGATGAGGCCCACCCACAAAGAGGAGAGCAATATGCTTTACTCAGCCTATTGATTTAAATGTTAATCTCATCCAAAAACACCCTCACAGAAGCACCCAGAACAATATCTGACCAAATAACTGGGAATTGTAGTCAACTTGACATGCAAAATTTACCATCACAGCTTAATTTTTTCTATTGTCTTTTTAGTCTCTATTTCATTTAATTCTGCTCTAATTTTTATTATTTCCTTCCTTCCACTGACTTTTGGCTTCATTTGTTCTTCTTTTTCTAGTTCTTTAATATGTAATGTAAGGGCCAGCCGAGCGGTGCGTTGGTTAAGAGCTGGCTTGGGGTGCCAGAGGGCCCCGGTTCGGCTCCCACATGTGAGGGCCAGTGACACTGCCCTCTACAGCTAAGATGCTGAACAACAGTTCAACCTGGAGCTGGGCTGCGGTGAGTTGCCAGTGACGGCGGGGATTGCAATCCCTGTTGCGGTGGGTTGCCATGGGCTATCATGTGTGGCCAGCAGCCAGCATGAGCGGTGGTCCAGAAGCCAGTGACTGATCTGCCTCACCTGGGAAGAGCGCAATGATGGTGCCAGCTTGGGCCAGTGAAGCAACGTCTTCCACAACTAGACTGAAGAACAAAAGGACAGCAACTTGCCTATTCCCCTTCCCCCAATTCCCCAATAAAAATCTTTAAAAAAAAATGTAATGTTAGGTTGTTTATTTGGAATCTTTCTTGTTTCTTGAGATATGGCTGTAATGATATAAACTTCCCTCTTATTACTGCTTTGGCTGCACCCAAAAATTCTTAATATATTGTATTTTCATTCTTGCTAAAAAGGTTTTAAATTTTTTTTACTTCAGGTGCCCAAACATAGGCATAGGCATAGTCATAGGTTAATGTCATTATTGATCTATGTGTAACTCTCTCTTTTTTTTTTTCAGCTGAGCCATCCTGCCACCTGCTGCTGCCATCAGCGGCAGCTCAGCTCGGGCTGGGACTCAAACCACTGTTGCTCAGAGCTCGCACTCTTGAGCGAGCTCTTAACCAACTGAGCCATTCAGCCAGCCCCTGTGTAACTCTCTTTTATTTTATTTTATTTTTTTATTTAGTTATCACTAATTAGCACCTGTGAACTTATCACCTAATCAAAGAACTTGGACAGTATAAAAACTCACACATATTAGATCTTTCTCTTTGCCATTCACCTGACCCCCTCTACCCACATGAGGTAACCATTCTCTTAAATCTTCTATTTATCATTTTATTTCCTTAAACAAATTTTTTTATATACAAAAAATCACAAGCAGAAAATTACTTAGTTTTAGCTATTTTTATGTTTTTCCTTAAAAAAAGAGTATCCTGTGGAATGGAGTATTATGACACTTGATTTTTTCCACTTAACATTATTTAAGATTCATCCATATTATTGAATATCGTTCTAGTTCATTCATTTGCACTGCTGTATATTAATTCATTGTTTGAACATACCACTATTTATCCAGTTACCTCTTAATGGACCCTTGAGATACTGCTATAATCACACTTGTACATTTCTCTTGAGGGGGTTTATGGACCTACGTTCCTCTAGGGATTATCATTAAGGCTGAATTGTTCGATCCTGACTTATGACATATTCCCAACTTTTCTAGATAATGAATGAAAAATGTCTTTTCAAAGTAATGATAGCAATTTATACTCCTACTAGCATTTGGAACTGTCATGTTTCTTAAATTTTGTTAATCAAATGAGTATCAATTAATACCTTATTTTAGTCTTGGTTTATAACTTTCTTATTACCAGTGAGGCTGAGCATTTCTTTCATATGTTTATTAGTCATGTGGGCTTCCTCTTCTGTAAAATGACTTCCCATGTCATTTAGCAATTTTTTCTTAGGATTGTTTATTTTCATCATTGATTCATTGGATTCTGTCAGTCCCATCTCTACTATGTATCTTGTTTTGGAACTCTCGCCTCATCTCCACCGTTACTACCTCAGTATGAGCAACCATTATTTAAATCCTGATCTTAGCTAGTCTTTCTGTTTACACTCTTGCCCCCCATTTGTCCCATTCTAAATTACTTTGCCATTTTGCTATACAGAAACACAAATTGTCACACATGTAAGTACACACACACACATGCACACACATAGTTTAAAACCCTCCAGTAACTTCTCATTGTTTCCAGTATAAAATCTAAGCCCTTTACCAAAGCCTACAAAGTCTTACATGACTGATCTCACCTTTCTCTCCCATCTTAGTCCCACCTCCTCACTATCGGTGCTCCAAACACACTGATCTCTTTCAGTCCTACGAGCATGTGAAGCCCTGTGTGGTCACAGGACTTTCCACAGGCACTGCCTCTGACTGGAACACTCTGCCACCTTCCTCTCCTCTTTGCTACCTCCTTCTCACCCTTCAACCTGCATGTGACTCCTCAAAGAGGCCACCCAGGTCTTCCCTAGCTGAAGCAAGTCCTCCCTTCTTAATCTCTGTCTTAGCCTCTTGCCTAGTTCCTTTACAGCACATATCATCATGAGTAATTATTTTGTCATTGATAATTTTTTTAGTCTTTATCTCTCTTAGGATATAAACCCCATAAATCAGATATTTTACCATAATAGACACAAAATTAATATTTGTTGGATGAATAGATGGATGGAAGAATGGATAGACAATCAAACCATCCTGGAGACTATGAAGGTACAAGGTGCCAAATTTCTGCTTTATCACTAATAGTTTCATGAAGAAAGTCATCCAGCCTGTTCTGAAATAAATTCCATTATTATCAACGATATACTTACCATTTTTTTCTTCTCCCACTTCACTTTATATTTCCATAAGTTTGTTCCCCCATCAAAACTTTCTTTATTGTACACATTTGAACATTTTGATATGTCAAAACATGAGTTTTCCCAATAAAAATTTTAGTAAAAGACTACTATGGATATTTGATATACATATTTTCCTACATGAATAATAGCAAACATGTGTTGATACAGTTATTAAGGGGAAAAAATGATTTTCCAGCAGCTGCTGATTTCATCAAGTTCACTATGTGATGAGTCACTCAAACTTCCACAGAGCAAGAAAGTTATAAGTAAAGAAAAATGAATTTTTTTACTTGGTTAAGAAACGAGTGGGAAGAGTTAGACATGGGCAAGTGAATAAAATCAACTGGAATGAGGATTTTATTCTATAGAAAGTTGAGTAACTTATATGTCAAAGGGAAAAAAACTATACATCTACCTATTACTTTAACAAAACAACTGAAAAAACATGTGAAAACTGGCATAAAGGGTGGGGTATTTGTAACATGAATAAGGCAGTCATTAAAAAAAAAAGCAACAGCTGCCATTCTGAGCCACTCCACGAATGCACGACAAAGAAGCCAACTCTTCTCTTTCATTTGTATTAGTATGATGCCAACTATTACTGAGATAATAACCATCCCAGGCATTAGCCAAAGTCCTTTTGGAAAAGCTGTTTCTTAAATTCTTCATCACATTGCACAACTTCTTGGAAAAGGTGAGGTTTAGTTACCTGCCAACTCTAAAACAGAAAGTTCTGTCAACCGCGTAACACAAGAGAGTGTTCTGTGAAATGCATAGCACAGTATTCACATGGATGGGTATCATTTGGCTTGACACTGACTTTGCATTTTCCCCATGAATTTGTTCTTTGCTTCATCGTCTTTCATGCTGCCCTCTAAATAAATGTAGCTTTCTTTTACTGAGCACATGTCATATGCCAAACTGTGCGCTAAGCATCTTACAAATAATACTCCTGACAACAGCCCTATTGCTTATGTGTAATTACTTTGATGGAGCAAACACCGTTTCTCTGTTTTTGAGATCAGAAAATAGAAGCTCAGAGGGGTAAGCAACTGACTTAAGGTTACCCAAAGAGTTTAACACCCATGACTACTAGCTCCAAAGCTCTTCCTTAGGAAGAAACTCACTACATTCTTGAACAAAATGGCAAATGTGGAAGACCACTGGCAGTATTACAA